CAACATGCTAAAACAAGCTAACATGTGACAGTTAGTAAACAACATGCTAACACAAGCTAACATGTGACAGTTAGTAAACAACATGCTAACACAAGCTAACATGTGACAGTTAGTAAACAACATGCTAAAACAAGCTAACATGTGACAGTAAACAACATGCTAAAACAAGCTAACATGTGACAGTTAGTAAACAACATGCTAACACAAGCTAACATGTGACAGTTAGTAAACAACATGCTAACACAAGCTAACATGTGACAGTTAGTAAACAACATGCTAACACAAGCTAACATGTGACAGTTAGTAAACAACATGCTAAAACAAGCTAACTACATACAACAACTTCTGTTAGCATGTTCTTATATCTGTGGGTCCTCCCCCCCTCAGGCCTCCTCCTCTGACGGGGCTCTGACTCTGGACCTGATCCAGGAGGACGACCCCCCCTCGGACCCCCCGCCCCCCCCTCTGTGCCTGCGCCGAGGCTTCTGGGAAATCTGATAGCCTCCCGAGGGAGGTGCAGAGTCCCCTGGTGGGGAAGAAGAGCCGCTGTGCCTCCATTGAGCAGATCCTGACCCCCCAGGACCACAAAGACCCCAAAAACCACAAAGACCCCAAAGACCCCAAAGACCCCAAAGACCCCAAAAACCACAAAGACCACAAAGACCCCAAAAACCACAAAGACCCCAAAGACCACAAAGACCCCAAAGACCACAAAGACCCCAAAGACCCTAAAGACCACAAAGACCCCAAAAACCACAAAGACCCCAAAGACCACAAAGACCCCAAAGACCACAAAGACCCCCCGATGGTGGCCCGGCTGCAGGAGCTGATCGTCCAGAAGCTGCAGGACACGGAGAGGATGCTGACGGAGGTCCGGGGAGGGGGGGGGCTCCGGGGAGGGGTGGGGGTCCGGGGGGGGGCGGAGGCAGAGAGGATCCTGATGGAGGCCACGCAGACCTGGAGTCAGGCGAGGGACGTCCTGCAGGAGGTGAAGGAGCTCCAGGACCTGTACCGGCAGCTGTGAGGCTTTACATCAGGGGGGTGTCAAACATACAGGAACTACAATACCCACAACGCCTCTGTGCCTGGACCTGTACCTGCAGCTGGACCCTCCCTCACTGTGAGGCTTTACATACAAACATACAGGAACTACAATACCCACAATGCCTCTGTACCTGGACCTGTACCTGCAGCTGGACCTTCCCTCACTGTGAGGCTTTACATACAAACATACAGGAACTACAATACCCACAATGCCTCTGTACCTGGACCAGAACTGGTGATTGAGATTCTGAACCAGAGGGGAAGACTTCGATAAGAGACTCCTACGGCCTTTAGAGGGGGCTCACTCCTTCACCTCCTTTAGAGGGGGCTCACTCCTTCACCTCCTTTAGAGGGGGCTCACTCCTTCACCTCCTTTAGAGGGGGCTCACTCCTTCACCGCCTTTAGAGGGGGCTCACTCCTTCACCTCCTTTAGAGGGGGCTCACTCCTTCACCGCCTTTAGAGGGGGCTCACTCCTTCACCTCCTTTAGAGGGGGCTCACTCCTTCACCGCCTTTAGAGGGGGCTCACTCCTTCACCTCCTTTAGAGGGGGCTCACTCCTTCACCGCCTTTAGAGGGGGCTCACTCCTTCACCTCCTTTAGAGGGGGGCTCACTCCTTCACCTCCTTTAGAGGGGGCTCACTCCTTCACCTCCTTTAGAGGGGGCTCACTCCTTCACCTCCTTTAGAACGATGCAGGAGGATCTCCGGGGTGTGTGGAGGTCAGGTTCAGGATCTATTGATTAACCATGGTACAAACTGTTTAAACCCTCCTCTTCCTCTTCCTCTTCTTCCTCTTGAACCGCTGAGCTGGGCTCAGAAACTATGCACGCTGCATGAAGAGCAGCCTCCTCTAGACTCTTCCTCCTCCTCCTCCTCCTCCTCTTCTTCCTCTTCTGAATGTGTTTTTATGCGCAGGTAGAAATGTATGAATCCTCAGAAACCACTGAATAAACTTCAGTCTCTTTTTGATCCTCTCAGATCAGTGCTAACAGAGCTAACAGTGCTAACAGAGCTAACAGTGCTAACAGAGCTAACAGTGCTAACAGAGCTAACAGAGCTAACAAGGCTAACAGTGCTTAAAGTGCTAACAGTGCTAACAGAGCTAACAGTGCTAACAGAGCTAACAGTGCTTAAAGTGCTAACAGTGCTAACAGTGCTAACAGTGCAAGAGAACAATAGAGAAATACATCTAAATGTAGCTGATAAGCTAATCAAGCCAACAATCATTAGCTGGAATAGCTAGCTATAGGCGCTTTCACACCGGAGTACTTTTCCCAGTATAGTTCCGATAGTTCTTGAAATGTTGCGTTCACACCAAAAAGATCTGGAACTAGAACTTAGTTCATGAGAACCTTTCCCCCCTTTTCCGTCCCTGCTAGAGAGCAGGCACTTTCCTGGGAGAAAAAGGTTCCCAGTTCTGATTGGCTGGGCGGATTGCAAACCACGCCCCGTAAAACTCTGAAATGTTTTGTGAAGCCGCTATTGTATTTGCTGGCATTAGCATTATTATCATTAGCATTAGCCCAGCGCAGAAACGCAGAGAGACTAACTTATGGCAACACAAAAGAAAACATGGGAGCGGTGGAGATGAGGAGGTGTCGGCGTTCTGGCGATTTACTCGGAAGGCCCCAAGTCCCCAACTCCGGGGACTTCCGGCCGGGCAGTATACACCGTGAAGTGGTTTGCGGCCTGCCAGTAAACCCAAAGCAGAAGAAGAAGAAGTGACGTCAGCGGCTCATTTGCGTAATCTTCCCTCAGGGAATTATTCCAGTGTGAACGCGATCTACTCTTTAGTTCATCAGAACTAAAGAGTTCTGATGAACTAAAGAGTAGTGTGTGTGTGTTTGTGTGTGTGTTACACACTAAGTACGGCAAGTACTTGGTGTGAAAGCGCCTCATGATACGATAATACTTTGTCGTCAGATCAAGTCTGTAAAGAAGAAGCTCCACGTGGAACAACAACAACAAATATTTAGAGAAAAACATTTAACATCAGAATCTCTGCCAATGCTAATGTAGCATCCTGGCTACGGGATGATACGCATTAGCTACCAGCTAACAGCTAACAGAGCTAATGCTAAACCTTGATTAGGCTAATTATCATCGTCACGTTTTATTATTTATTTGTCATTACACCCAACCCACTTTATTTAGCAAACAAACAACACACACCTCCTAAAGATAAAATAAGGAGAATCTCTGCTGTAGTTTAAAACTTTAAAATAATAATCAGGTAAATACAGATTCACTCGCTAGGGGTGTAACGGTATACGTATTCGTACCGAAATTATTCGGTACCGAAGGGCCCATACCGAACGAATATAACGTTAAACGTAAAAAATTGAGAACGTGAACAACTTTTTGGAAATAATCTCAGGTGCTGCGTCGCAGCGTTCAGTGTAATTTGCTCACGTTGGGTTCAACGCGTCATAGAGCGACCAAGTCATTTCGTTGGACGAGAGGCATACTATGAGATCAGAGGCCTGTACTACGAAGCCAGAGGCCTGTACTACGAAGCCAGAGGCCTGTACTACGAAGCCGGTTCAACCTAACCTGGATATGTTTGAGTTAGCCGGTTGGTCCAATCCAAAACATACGCGCTCTCGCTAAACTGTCCTACGACGCTGGTTATCAAGTGAATCGCTCAAGCCAGCCGTGTCCTATCTAGTTAGGTGTGCGTTCACATGAAAGGGGTGGTATCTGGAGCATTCGACCAATCACAAACATGGACAAGCGTACTGACAGCGCAGCGTCATACTTCCTGAATGAAAAGTGAACTTTAATATTAGTCAAATATGAAGAAGTTAAACTTTAAACATCCATGACTTAAACACTTTATCCAGGATCAAAGCCACACAGCTGCACCTGCAAGGTGAATACAGCTGGTAACAGAAAAAGTGTTTGAATGCGTACATTAACAGGTTTATGATATCACTGCCCCGTCTAAGACACGATCTGACTTTAATTACATTTGACTCGAGTGTTTCGTCAACTTAATGTGTTGCTTAAAAGAATACTTCTGCATCCAGTATGTGACACTGTGAGTGTTGCACGGCCAGATACGGCTCAGCTGACTCAGATAAGGAAATATATGATACATTATGATGTGATATGATATGAATGATAATGGGACACATCGACGTCTGCACTCACAGTGCCGCGGACTGTACGTAATGTTACTCTGATCCGGTTACTTATGTTGTGGCAGATATTTAAGTAAGCTTTCTTAACGCTAATGTTATAATAGTCAGATTGCTCTGAAGATGGGAGGAGGGGATATTCTATTCATGTTCACGTTCACACAGTCGGTGATTTTTGCCGGCCGTCTTTCCTGCAACGGCAGTTTTTCTGTATTTCCTCTATCCTGTAATATGACTTGATCTTTAAACTCCGCACACGGAGCTCTGATTGGTCAGCAGGCGGTGCTTTCACTGAGTTGATCTCTTAGCCTGCAACCTAACCTGCTCCGGACCAGGCTAGCCGCTCAGCATCAGTTACCATGGAGATCTAGCCCGCTAAAAAGAGAACCAGCGTCGTAGGACCGGAGAGCCAGAGTTTCCCCTGAAGTCAGCTCAGAGAACATCCAGCTTCGTAGTACAGGCCTCTGGTACGGAGCAGGTTAGGGATATTCTATTCAGTTAGCTCAGAGAACATCCGGCTTCGTAGTACAGGCCTCTGGTACGGAGCAGGTTAGGGATATTCTATTCAGTTAGCTCAGAGAACATCCGGCTTCGTAGTGCAGGCCTCAGGCCTCAGGTCTCAGGGATGCGTTCAAATTTAGTCAGTAATTTGAGGAACTGTCGAAATGGCGAACGCAGATAAAGTTGAGCTTGAAAATCGTCCAGCATCATTGAAGTCTCCGGTTTGGGAACATTTTGGTTTCGCAGTTACGTACAAAGAAAGTGAACCGTTACACCCCTACTCGCTACCCTAAACTGTTTCTCTGTTCCTGGTGTTAGGGTTAGCTCTGATCTGAGAAGAACTGCAAGGACCTGAGCCGGCAGGAAACTATTTTTATAAAGACTTAGCCTATTAGTATATACTGTAGCCTATTCCTGTAGTGTGTGTGTGGGTGTGTGAGAGAGTGTGTGTGGGTGTGTGTGTGTCTGTGTGTGAGAGAGTGTGTGTGGGTGTGTGTGTGTGTGTGTGTGTCTGTGTGTGAGAGAGTGGGTGTGTCTGTGTGAGTCTGTGTGAGAGAGTGTGTGTGTGTGTGTGTGTGTGCGTGTGTGTGTGTGTCTGTGTGAGAGTGTGTGTGTGTGTGTGTGTGTGTCTGTGTGAGAGTGTGTGTCTGTGTGAGAGTGTGTGTCTGTGTGAGAGTGTGTGTGTGTGTGTGAGTCTGTGTGAGAGAAACGGCCAGTGTGTGTGTGTCAGAGCGGATCCCGTTGAGCGTCTTTCTGTCTTCTGAACTTCCCTCTCTGTGCTGCAGCCTTAAACCCCAGAGGATCATGGGAGATGTAGTCTGGGAGAGATGTAGTCTGGGAGAGATGTAGTCTGGGAGAGATGTGAAGCTGTGAGTTCATGTGCTAAAATAAAAACTTGCAAACTGAAACCTGAGTGTCTCAATGAACTGTTAACGAGTGTGTGTGAGTGGGGGGTCAGTCATGTGACCTCTGAAGCAAACTGACTGCTTTACATCCAGCAGGTTACCATGGAGACAGGAAGGCCAGGTGTGGGGGGCGGAGCCTGAGCACCTGAGTCAAATCAAAACAAAACTATTGAAATAAAAACACACACAGACAGACACTCACAAGTCAATTGGATATTAGATTACATCATCTGTGTGTGTGTGTGTTAGTAACAGAATAAAATCTATAAAATAGTGTGTTACAGAAAACTAAAAGCTTTAAAGAGTGTGTGTACACAGTGACGGTAAACACACAGTATATACAGGATAGTATATTTATATTTAGTCGTCAACATGGATTTCATTGAGTTGTTTTCTCAGAGGAATATTTAGGATCTCTCCACGTTCTCCCCGGCCCTCCACAGCTCTGTGGCGCCACCAGCTGGTGAACACATGAAATACCACCTGATCAATAACAGCAGGCTCACACGTGATCACCTGGGCTCACACGTGATCACCTGGGCTCACACGTGATCACCTGGGCTCACACCTGATCACCTGGGCTCACACGTGATCACCTGGGCTCACACCTGATCACCTGGGCTCACACGTGATCACCTGGGCTCACACCTGATCACCTGGGCTCACACGTGATCACCTGGGCTCACACGTGATCACCTGGGCTCACACGTGATCACCTGGGCTCACACCTGATCACCTGGGCTCACACCTGATCACCTGGGCTCACACGTGATCACCTGGGCTCACACCTGATCACCTGGGCTCACACGTGATCACCTGGGCTCACACGTGATCACCTGGGCTCACACCTGATCACCTGGGCTCACACGTGATCACCTGGGCTCACACCTGATCACCTGGGCTCACACGTGATCACCTGGGCTCACACGTGATCACCTGTTAACAACGTGATTAAAAAGAGACTGCATTCATAACAGGTATCGATTGTCTTTAGGAGTTACAGCAACACCGTGTTTCATGGCGAGGGATCTGTCTCCATGGCAACGGTGTTACCCCATAATTAGAGGGGGGGAAATGAGAGAATTGAGAAACCTTCCTGGACTTCATTAGAAAACACATTTCATTTTGTTGTTATTTGTAAATAAAGAAACTTCTGATGTTTCATCCGTTTTTTATTGAAAACACAGAAGAAGACGGGAATAAAAAAATAAATGAACTCGGAGAGGTCATGATTCACAACAGAGAGAGGCCGGTCTATTTACAGAGGCAGGGCCGCCGAGGATCATGGGTAATGTAGTCCTCTCAGAGTAAAGCTGAGAGGACGTCGGCCAATGAGAACTAGGATAAAAAACTGTTTTGGGTAAAATCTAAAAGGTCTGAGTTTGGTAGAGAGGAAACGATCGGCCAATCACATCGCAGCTGACTTGATCACATGACAGTCTGCGGCCCTGAGGGTCAGAGGTCACCGGAGCGGGCGTTAATTATTCATCATCGTCATCGTCAACTTCGTCGTCTGCCTCCCTCTTCCTCTTCTCTCCCTGAACCTCTGCAGCATCTGACAGGAAACAGCACATTAAAGCTTCCTCTTCATCATCCTCATCATCATCCTCATCATCGAACATTTGACTTATTAATAATTCAAACTTATTTAAAACTGAACACAAACCTCCGTCTTCCTCGTCTTCCTCCTCTTCAACGTAGTCACCGTCGTCCTCCTCGTCCTGAGAGAGACACAAGCATGTTACACACACACACACAGCTACAGACACACACACACACAGACACACACAGCTACAGACACACACACACACAGACACACACAGCTACAGACACACACACACACAGACACACACAGCTACAGACACACACACACAGCTACAGACACACACACAGCTACAGACACACACACACACACACACAGCTACAGACACACACAGCTACAGACACACACACAGCTACAGACACACACACACAGCTACAGACACACACACACACAGACACACACAGCTACAGACACACACACACACAGACACACACAGCTACAGACACACACACACAGCTACAGACACACACACAGCTACAGACACACACACACACACAGCTACAGACACACACAGCTACAGACACACACACAGCTACAGACACACACACAGCTACACACACACACACAGCTACAGACACACACACAGCTACAGACACACACACAGACACACACACAGCTACACACACACAGCTACAGACACACACACACACAGACACACACAGCTACAGACACACACACAGCTACAGACACACACACAGCTACACACACACACACACAGCTACACACACACACACAGCTACACAGACACACACACAGCTACACACACACAGCTACAGACACACACACAGCTACAGACACACACAGCTACAGACACACACTCACAGCTACAGACACACACACAGCTACAGATACACACACACAGCTACAGACACACACACAGCTACAGATACACACACACAGCTACAGACACACACACACAGCTACAGACACACTCACAGCTACAGACACACACACACTCACAGCTAGACACACACACACTCACAGCTACAGACACACACACACTCACAGCCACACTCACAGCTACAGACACACACACACTCACAGCTACAGACACACACACACTCACAGCTACAGACACACACACACACAGACACACACACACAGACACACACTCACAGCCACACAGACACACACACTCACAGCCACACAGACACACTCACAGCTACAGACACACACACACACAGACACACACACACACACACTCACAGCCACACAGACACACACACACAGCTACAGACACACACACACACACACAGTCTCACACACACACACACAGGCCAGGCTCCAGGATGAAATGACTGAGGGGGCTGTTAAAAAAATCCGAGGGGGCGATTTTTTTTCCACAACAACGAAAACTACTGTGAAAGTAATGAATTGACCTAACCCTAACCCCTAACCCTAACCCCTCTCATTCTGTTTTCCTCTGGTCTTTAATAAGGCAGGGTGCACATCACTTTGTTGGCGGGGGGTGCGCACCAGTTAAGTGCAGCCCTGATAATAGTACCGTATTAGATGCACTTTGGTTCACAGACTAACATTGATTTCCTCAATTTATAAATTGACAGGCTCTGTAATTATACCGTAACCTTTTCTCCTCTATCCATTAAAGGTGGGGTAGGTAAGTTTGAGAAACCAGCTTGAGTGCGCTAGAATTTGAAAATACACAGCCGGAGAAAATCTGCCACTTCCTCACAGAGCCCCTCCTCCAACACACACGAACGCGCACATGACCAATGAGGGCACGAGATAAGTTTGTGCACAGATGGAAGGCTGACAGGCAGGTAGGCCATCCAGTTATTTTAGCCGGGCCGGCTCAGATGATTGGTCGTACTTTTTACAGTACTACAGCTTCCACTGATGATATTTATTTATGGATTTTTGTCAAAGCACTTCAGATATTCATTGCTATCTGGATGTTAAGAGCATTCCATGGAATATAACAACAAGTGTATCTCCAGCCGGTTTCTCAAACTTACCTACCCCACCTTTAACTCGTCTTCCTATACAGATTTACTTACTATACTCTAGTCATGTCAGGATTAAAGAACAATTATTTTCAGGATTGAATGTTCAAACCAAGGCTTAAAACCTGGCATTTCATAAGAAACTAATCTATAAACCAAATGTAATATTGGATCAAACACTACGCCAAATGGACCGACACAGGTTCAACATATAGTCCCCTGGTTTGTCTCTAGTCTAACTGCCAGGAGAAAGATCTGATCAATGTTCCACAATCCATCACTAGATGTCGCTCATTGCACCTATACGGTTTATATAATACAGAACATATTATTATTATAGTAAAAGGGCTCTCGTTGGCAGAAGCCTGATCCATACAGGCAGCGCTAAATGATAACAAGTAGCCATCATGTGTGGTGCTGTCTGGAGATGTCCGTCTTGTTTTCTGTGTATGTCATATTGTTTTCACAGAGCTGTGGACATGAATCCCCCTGGGGACAAATCATCTGAACTCATTTAATATTCAATCCCACACGTGGAGATTGAGAACATACATTCGTAACTTACCTCGTTTAAAGCACTTTTGTTGTAACACTATGGATTTAGTTGACACTACTAGCCGAGTTTCTTTTGTCCAATATCTGGTGGGCAGGTACACGGCCTGCCCACACATCTGATCTAAACATAGTAACGTGTACTGGGGAAGATCATTATTTAAATTGTGACATTTATTGTACTTTTTGATGGATGAATGATGCTCAAGGTGAGGGGGCAAAGAATACAACTGAGGGGGCAAAGCCCCCTTTCGCCCCCTCGTGGCCCCGGTGTCAGTACCATATGTGTTCCATGTGTTCGCCCTACCATATGTGTTCGGGGTCCGTCGGTTACCAATGACGTCACGCATTGTGATTGGCTGTACGGTAATCGCACGCTGATTGGTGTAACTAGGGGCGCTGACTAGGGTATACCGGGGGTCTGATCAAAGGATGAAGCTGTTAACGTGCTGCTACCATAAACTGGCTGTAGCCCACAATCTGAAGCAGAATGGTCTAGGGCTGTCCTGAATACCATTTTTCGGGCTCCGGATATTCGGTAGTAATCAGCAGCGAATATTGGAATATTCGGCCCGTTAGCACCCCCCCCCCCCGAAGAGGCTCAAGCTCTTACGTTGATATTCGAGATTTCAATAAATTCAATTTGAAAAAAAACGGGAAAAACCAACAAAACGAATATCCGAATAACGAAATTGAAACCCGAATAGTACTCCAACGAACGGGTATTCAGGTACAGTAGGGCTGTACCCGAATAGTACTCCAACGAACGGGTATTCAGGTACAGTAGGGCTGTACCCGAATAGTACTCCAACGAACGGGTATTCAGGTACAGTGGGGCTGTACCCGAATAGTACTCCAACGAACGGGTATTCAGGTACAGTGGGGCTGTACCCGAATAGTACTCCAACGAACGGGTATTCAGGTACAGTGGGGCTGTACCCGAATAGTACTCCAACGAACGGGTATTCAGGTACAGTGGGGCTGTACCCGAATAGTACTCCAACGAACGGGTATTCAGGTACAGTGGGGCTGTACCCGAATAGTACTCCAACGAACGGGTATTCAGGTACAGTGGGGCTGTACCCGAATACTATCATCAAGTTATAGTAAATAACAAACTCCAGGGTTAGAATTCCATACTTCCATATTCATAAATAAAATGATATGCAGATAACATTTTCTTGGCTGTGGACTTGTACTCTACATAATTATGTTGAGCTCATGGTAATCTAATTCAATAAACAATAACTGCAATGAACAGATAGCATTTTCTGACTCGTAAAATGATTGGATATGGTGTAATTTGGTAAATGATTCTGTGTTGAAAAATGTATATCTTTAAAAACTGCGTTGGTGTATTAGGGCGGGCCATACTAATTTTGTTTTGTAAATCGATGGAGAGGGGTGTTCAAATAACGTATGTTGGTGTGTAGAACACACATCTATTTAGATTGATTTATTTTGAAGTTGTTGCTATGGAAACAACATGACGGAGAAAAAAGTAATATCTTCTACATATAATAACGGGCAAAGTAAAGAATGAAGTGTATGTTTAAATGTTAGCACCCCCCGAAGAGGCTCAAGCTCTTACGTTGAGTCTGGAGTTTCAATACATTCGGAATTTGACCGTGTAAAATGTCCTCTTGGCTTACCGTACAGCCAATGCGTGACGTCATTGGTAAGCGACGGACCCCGAACACATCTGGTACCTACACCGGGCCCGCTACAGACACACACTCTCACAGCTACAGACACACACTCACAGCTACAGACACACACTCACAGCTACAGACACACACTCACAGCTACAGACACACACTCACAGCTACAGACACACACTCTCACAGCTACAGACACACACTCACAGCTACAGACACACACTCTCACAGCTACAGACACACACTCTCACAGCTACAGACACACACTCACAGCTACATACACACACACACTAACACACACAGCTACACACTAGGGATGCCAGAAACTGACCATGACCAAAATCGAAGATCGGACAGCCCTGGCGAATATTAATCGATTAATCGCCACCCCCCCTCCCCCCCTCCCCCTCCCCCCTCCCGGGAGGAGGAAAAAAAAAACACTGACAAATGGTATTCCGTTGTTTTCTTTTACTGGAACGTGTACATGGTACAAAAGGGCTCTTCAGGTAGAACAGTATTAATAATAGCATCATTGAAATAAATTAAATAAATAGCCTACTTTATGTGTATGTATGTATGGGTGTAGGCGAGAGCGCAGCCGGTTAAGGATTAGTCCTGCCGCCGAAAAAACCCTTTCCGAGGGCACAGAGCACTGCGGAGCCCCTCAGCTAAATTAACCGCACTCTTCATCTCCCATTCACTATCGATATAATGGCAGGTTATGGTAAAATAGGATTTAGTTGTAAGTGCCGTCCACCCGTCGGTGGTTATCGACACCTTTGAGACAGTTGATAAGAGTACGGCCCGGGACCCTGTAATCTGGTTCCACGCTTGCCATAAACTCAAGGAAACCGCCTCCTTCCACGACGGAGGGGGCGGGGCGGGGTCGGTGTGTACCAGGCTGCAGCAGCAGTCTGCACTCTGCGCTGCTGGCTTCCTCCAAGTTTACAGTAAAACAAACTGGTGGTGTGATCAATGGTCATTTACAATTATTAATACTATTACTATTATTAGCATTAGTCTATATTTTGGTTGAAACCAAACCAGGAAAAAAAAGAAAAACATAAATATTAATAAAAAAATATATTAATAAAATCGATTTTTAAAAATAATATTCGATTATGGAGACTGTAACGAATAATCGAATAATCGAATAATCGCTGGCATCCCTACTACACACACACACTGCTACAGACACACACTCACAGCTACATACACACACACACTAACACACACAGCTACACACACACACTGCTACAGACACACACTCACAGCTACATACACACACTCACAGCTACATACACACACACACTAACACACACAGCTACACACACACACTGCTACAGACACACACTCACAGCTACATACACACACTCACAGCTACATACACACACACACTAACACACACAGCTACACACACACACTGCTACAGACACACACTCACAGCTACATACTCACAGCTACATACACACACTCACAGCTACATACACACACACACTAACACACAGCTACACACACACACTGCTACAGACACACACTCACAGCTACATACACACACTCACAGCTACATACTCACAGCTACAGACACACACTCACAGCTACATACACACACACACACACTAACACACAGCTACACACACACACTGCTACAGACACACACTCACAGCTACATACACACACACACCCACACAGCTACAGACACACACTCACAGCTACATACACACACACACACACACACCCATACTAACACACACACCCACACACACAGCTACAGACACACCCACACAGCTACACACCCACACAGCTACACACCCACACACACAGCTACAGACACACACACACACCCACACTAACACACACACAGCTACAGACACAGACACAGACACAGAGTAACTCACCTGGATGCCTTCCTTCATCAGGTAGGACAGCCCCACCTCCCCCTCCTCCCCCTCCTCCACCTCTGAGCTCTCATCATCGTCTTCATCATCATCGTGTACATGGGGACCGGCCACATCATCATCGTCGTCCTCATCTTCCTCATCTGGAACAAAATCTTAAATTTAGTTTTTCTAAAACTTTTTCCTGAAAATCTAAAACTTTTTGACTATTTTTCTAAAAAATTCAAATTCTCACTTTTTTCTAAAAAACTGCACATTTCAGATTTTTTTACTCAAAATCTCCACATTTTAACTTTTTTTCTGTAAATCTCAGGGAAAGTCACAGCAGCTTCACGCCATGCATCCTATTTCCCCCGGGATATCTGACCATGGTAAACAACAACAACAACAACAGCAGCAGCAGCAGCAGCAGCGGTCTGACCGTTGGAGTCGGGCAGCTCGTTGTCCTGGGGGTCGTACCCGTCCAGGTACTTGATCTGAGGGAGCAGCTGGAACACGCTCGGCCTGTACTCCTGCAGAGAGGACACCTCACAGCTGTACAGGTCCAGACTCTTCAGGTGCTTCAGACTCTGCTGCAGAACCACAGGGGAACACGGAGAACAGGTGAGGAGCAGGAGAACAGGAGAACACAGGTGAGAACAGGTGATGAGCAGGAGAACAGGAGAACAGGTGAGGAGCAGGAGAACAGGAGAACAGGTGAGAACAGGTGATGAGCAGGAGAACAGGAGAACACGGAGAACAGGTGATGAGCAGGAGAACAGGAGAACAGGTGATGAGCAGGAGAACACAGGAGAACAGGTGATGAGCAGGAGAACAGGAGAACACGGAGAACAGGTGATGAGCAGGAGAACAGGAGAACACGGAGAACAGGTGATGAGCAGGAGAACAGGAGAACACGGAGAACAGGTGATGAGCAGGAAAACAGGTGAACAAAGGTGAGAACAGGTGATGAGCAGGAGAACAGGTGATGAGCAGGAGAACAGGAGAACACGGAGAACAGGTGATGAGCAGGAGAACAGGGAGAACAGGTGATGAGCAGGAGAACAGGTGAGGAGCAGGAGAACAGGAGAACACGGAGAACAGGTGATGAGCAGGAGAACAGGGAGAACAGGTGATGAGCAGGAGAACAGGAGAACAGGGAGAACAGGTGATGAGCAGGAGAACAGGAGAACAGGGAGAACAGGTGATGAGCAGGAGAACAGGAGAACAGGTGATGAGCAGGAGAACACAGGAGAACAGGTGATGAGCAGGAGAACACAGGAGAACACAGGTGAGAACAGGTGATGAGCAGGAGAACACAGGAGAACAGGTGATGAGCAGGAGAACAGGAGAACAGGTGATGAGCAGGAGAACACAGGAGAACAGGTGATGAGCAGGAGAACACAGGTGAGAACAGGTGATGAGCAGGAGAACAGGTGAGGAGCAGGAGAACACAGGAGAACAGGTGAGGAGCAGGAGAACACAGGAGAACAGGTGATGAGCAGGAGAACAGGTGAGGAGCAGGAGAACACAGGAGAACAGGTGATGAGCAGGAGAACAGGTGATGAGCAGGAGAACAGGAGAACACAGGTGAGAACAGGAGAACAGGTGATGAGCAGGAGAGGAGCAGGAGAACACAGGAGAACAGGTGATGAGCAGGAGAACAGGAGAACACAGGAGAACAGGTGATGAGCAGGAGAACAGGAGAACACAGGGAGAACAGGTGATGAGCAGGAGAACAGGTGAGGAGCAGGAGAACACAGGAGAACAGGTGATGAGCAGGAGAACAGGTGATGAGCAGGAGAACACAGGAGAACAGGTGATGAGCAGGAGAACAGGAGAACAGGTGATGAGCAGGAGAACACAGGAGAACAGGTGATGAGCAGGAGAACACAGGAGAACAGGTGAGGAGCAGGAGAACACAGGAGAACAGGTGATGAGCAGGAGAACAGGTGAGGAGCAGGAGAACACAGGAGAACAGGTGATGAGCAGGAGAACAGGTGATGAGCAGGAGAACAGGTGATGAGCAGGAGAACAGGAGAACACAGGTGAGAACAGGTGATGAGCAGGAGAACACAGGAGAACAGGTGATGAGCAGGAGAACACAGGTGAGAACAGGTGATGAGCAGGAGAACACAGGAGAACAGGTGATGAGCAGGAGAACAGGTGATGAGCAGGAGAACACAGGAGAACAGGTGATGAGCAGGAGAACAGGTGATGAGCAGGAGAACACAGGAGAACACAGGAGAACAGGTGATGAGCAGGAGAACAGGTGATGAGCAGGAGAACACAGGAGAACAGGTGATGAGCAGGAGAACAGGTGATGAGCAGGAGAACACAGGAGAACACAGGAGAACAGGTGATGAGCAGGAGAACAGGTGATGAGCAGGAGAACAGGAGAACACAGGTGAGAACAGGAGAACAGGTGATGAGCAGGAGAGGAGCAGGAGAACACAGGAGAACAGGTGATGAGCAGGAGAACAGGAGAACACAGGAGAACAGGTGATGAGCAGGAGAACAGGTGAGGAGCAGGAGAACACAGGAGAACAGGTGATGAGCAGGAGAACAGGTGATGAGCAGGAGAACCACAGGAGAAACAGGTAGAACAGGTGATGAGCAGGAGAACACAGGAGAACAGGTGTGAGCAGTGAGAACACAGGAGAACAGGTGAGGAGCAGGAGAACACAGGAGAACAGGTGATGAGCAGGAGAACAGGTGAGGAGCAGGAGGAGAACACAGGAGAACAGGTGATGAGCAGGAGAACAGGTGATGAGCAGGAGAACAGGTGATGAGCAGGAGAACACAGGTGAGAACAGGTGATGAGCAGGAGAACACAGGAGAACAGGTGATGAGCAGGAGAACAGGTGATGAGCAGGAGAACACAGGAGAACACAGGAGAACAGGTGATGAGCAGGAGAACAGGTGATGAGCAGGAGAACACAGGAGAACAGGTGATGAGCAGGAGAACAGGTGATGAGCAGGAGAACACAGGAGAACACAGGAGAACAGGTGATGAGCAGGAGAACAGGAGAACACAGGTGATGAGCAGGAGAACAGGTGATGAGCAGGAGAACACAGGAGAACAGGTGATGAGCAGGAGAACACAGGAGAACACAGGAGAACAGGTGATGAGCAGGAGAACAGGTGATGAGCAGGAGAACACAGGAGAACAGGTGATGAGCAGGAGAACAGGAGATGAGCAGGAGAACACAGGAGAAACAGGTGATGAGCAGGAGAACACAGGAGAACAGGTGAGGAGCAGGAGAACACAGGAGAACAGGTGATGAGCAGGAGAACAGGTGAGGAGCAGGAGAACACAGGAGAACAGGTGATGAGCAGGAGAACACAGGAGAACAGGTGAGGAGCAGGAGAACACAGGAGAACAGGTGAGGAGCAGGAGAACACAGGAGAACAGGTGATGAGCAGGAGAACACAGGAGAACAGGTGAGGAGCAGGAGAACACAGGAGAACAGGTGATGAGCAGGAGAACACAGGAGAACAGGTGAGGATAGATGCAATAAGAAATAATCAGCTCTTCTTAAGGTGGAATGAACTCTCCTTAAGGTGGACTGAACTCTCCTTAAGGTGGACTGAACTCTCCTTGAGGTGGACTGAACTCTCCTTAAGGTGGACTGAACTCTCCTTAAGGTGGACTGAACTCTCCTTAAGGTGGACTGAACTCTCCTTAAGGTGGACTGAACTCTCCTTGAGGTGGAATGAACTCTCCTTAAGGTGGACTGAACTCTCCTTGAGGTGGACTGAACTCTCCTTGAGGTGGACTGAACTCTCCTTAAGGTGGACTGAACTCTCCTTAAGGTGGACTGAACTCTCCTTAAGGTGGACTGAACTCTCCTTAAGGTGGACTGAGCCCTTCTTAAGGTGGACTGAACTCTCCTTAAGGTGGACTGAGCCCTTCTTAAGGTGGACTGAACTCTCCTTAAGGTGGACTGAGCCCTTCTTAAGGTGGACTGAACTCTCCTTAAGGTGGACTGAGCCCTTCTTAAGGTGGACTGAACTCTCCTTAAGGTGGACTGAGCCCTTCTTAAGGTGGACTGAACTCTCCTTAAGGTGGACTGAACTCTCCTTAAGGTAGACTGAGCCCTTCTTAAGGTGGACTGAACTCTCCTTAAGGTGGACTGAACTCTCCTTAAGGTGGACTGAACCCTTCTTAAGGTGGACTGAACTCTCCTTAAGGTGGACTGAGCCCTTCTTAAGGTGGACTGAACTCTCCTTAAGGTAGACTGAACTCTCCTTAAGGTGGACTGAGCCCTTCTTAAGGTGGACTGTGTGAGTTTCCTCACCAGCGTCTTGATGCTGCTCAGCTCCTTGATCTTGTTCCCGCTCAGGTTCAGGTACGTCAGGTTGGGACATTTCTCTACCAGCGAGTCCAGATCTCCAGAGATCAGGTTATCACTCACTTCCAGCTGACACACACACACACACACACACACACACACACACACACACACACACACACACCACACACACACACACACACACACACACACACACACACACACACACACACACACACACACCACACACACACACACACACACACACACACACACACACACACACACACACACACACACCACACACACACATCCACACACACACACACACACACACACACACACACACCACACACACACACACACCACACACACACACACACACACACACACACACACACACACACACACACACACACACACACACACACACACACACAATAAATAAATCACAGGTAAGTAAGGAAGTAGTCATCACATACAGAGCATCAAGTAGTTCCTGAACAGTGTCCTTCACATGCTGATATACAAGAGAGGGAGTTACACAGTCACAAGATGGAGGAATACCAGTTCTTGTAGGTCAGGGGTGGGGAACCCCCGGCCCCCATTTGGTACGGCCCTTGAGGTAATTTATAAACACACGCAAAAAAGAAAAGAATTAAAGAAATCTAGACCGCAAAATAATTTAAAAAAGCGAGAGTGCCTGTTTTTCCTGGCCAAGGTCAGGGTCCTTGAACACAACACGAGCCTAACGTGTCATCACGTGGTATATGTCTGCTCTGACAGGGGTGCAGTTCTGATGGAGAGCACCAGAACGCCGCTCCGGCTCTTCCAAAGATTGCAGTACCCATAAGGAGCCGTACACATGCTGCAGTTTCTGCGTGGCTGTGTCTTTAGCTGAAAGCCCAGAGGAGATCTGTTCATCTGTCATACTGATCATACAGTCAATCACTTTGCTGTTATTAGCATCTGGTTAGCTAGCTATGCTAACGAATACAAGAAGCTTCTCCAACCAGTGAGGTAAAGGCACATCTTTATATGATCATTATAGTTATACAAAAATAAGAGAATAAAGTTGAATACAGTTTGAAAGAGGAGTGATTTGTAAAATATCCATAAAGAAAAAATAAATCTGTTTCCAGTTCTGTTTCATATGTTGAGATGTTTCCATAGATCTCTCCATGTTGCTCTCAAAGTGCTCCAGATTGATGCTTTCAACTTCAATATTTAAAAAATAAATCTTCCCGGGGGAGCATGCCCCCCCCCTAGAGGAGGTGAGGTCCCCCCCTAGAGGAGGTGAGGTCCCCCCTAGAGGAGGTGAGGTCCCCCCTAGAGGAGGTGAGGTCCCCCCCTAGAGGAGGTGAGGTCCCCCCTAGAGGAGGTGAGGTCCCCCCCTAGAGGAGGTTAGGTCCCCCCCCCACACTTAAATCATGTTCACATGGATAGGAAACTAAATACATTTGCACACATCTTGTGTCCATATCTTTCTGTTTTGGTGGTCATGCCACACCGTGCACGTGCATGCGTGCCACACCGTGCACGTGAATGCATGCCACAACCGTGCACGTGAATGCATGCCACAACCGTGCACGTGAATGCATGACACAACCGTGCACGTGAATGCATGCCACAACCGTGCACGTGAATGCATGCCACAACCGTGCACGTGCATGCTTGCCACACCGTGCACGTGCATGCATGCGTGAGTCATGGTGAGATATCTGGATTCAGAGGTTCTGTTTCTTTGCACACATGAAAGAAAGGAGAAATGAATGGGCTGTGATTTTAGTATTTTGAAGCAGAGGTCAATCATTTGTACGGCCCTCGGAGGATGTTGAAAAATTTGAAATGGCCCCTGAGAGGAAAAAGGTTCCCCACCCCTGATCTCGATAATCATATATCCTGTCATGTACAAAATACTGATTTTTTTCCAAAATGTTGGATTTTTTCTCAAAACTTTTTCTCCAAATTCTGACTTTTTATAAAAATCTCCAAATTCTGACTTTTTATAAAAATCTCCAAATTCTGACTAGTTCCTGAACAGTGTCCTTCACATGCTGATATCCAAGAGAGGGAGTTACACAGTCACAAGATGGAGGAATAGAAAGCAGTATTCAATGTTTACTTCAGATTAGCTCCACGTCAGAAATGAGCATGCTTGTCATATGTCTATCTCCATAGAGGCTGAATCATCATGTTAATCACATAGCTATCATATGCCTCAAACAGTCCTGATGCTCTTCTAGGTAATCATACATCCTGTCATGTTCACAGCTACAGCTGGGATACCTTTGTTATCATATTGGAGGAGGACGTTGATGCGTACCTTGCTGAGTTTGGGCAGAGCAGGCAGCTTGGACAGCGAGCTGAGCCCCACGTTCACCATGCTGAGGATCTCCAGCTCCGAGTACTCCTCCGTCAGACCCTCCACCTCCCCGTCGCTGGAGCGGCAGTTATCCACCACCAGCTCCGCCACCTGGACAACAACAACAGGGAGTCATGGGTCAACAACAACAGGGAGTCATGGGTCAACAACAACAGGGAGTCATGTGAGCACAACAACAGGGAGTCATGTGAGCACAACAACAACAACAGGGAGTCATGTGAGCACAACAACAGGGAGTCATGTGAGCACAACAACAACAACAGGAAGTCATGTGAGCACAACAACAACAACAGGGAGTCATGTGAGCACAACAACAACAACAGGGAGTCATGTGAGCACAACAACAACAACAGGAAGTCATGTGAGCACAACAACAACAACAACAGGGAGTCATGTGAGCACAACAACAACAACAACAACAACAACAGGGAGTCATGTGAGCATTAGGAAAAAAGCTATAAAAATCCCATGTATTATCTACAACAAGAAAACATTTACTAAAAGTAGAAGTACTCAGATCTGGTACTTGAGTAAAAGTACTCAGATCTAGTACTTGAGTAAAAGTACTCAGATCTAGTACTTGAGTAAAAGTACTCAGATCTGGTACTTGAGTAAAAGTACTCAGATCTGGTACTTGAGTAAAAGTACTCAGATCTGGTACTTGAGCAGGGTGCCCCACACAGACTTTAATTGGGGGGGCACCCAGGTATATTAACGTCCACCAAAGTATATTTCGCGACCCATTTAGGGTTAATCTTTTTTTTGTATCCGCCCGCGAGCACGACACCAACTGCGATCGATGAACTAGCCCTCCTGTACCGGTTCGCTCTGCTGGAATACATATTATATATTTTTGGGGAAATCTCACAATTCTGTTAAATTCTAAAAAAACACTTTTGTAAAGTTGATATTTACAGAACAGAGTCTGAATGATGAGAGCAGGTTAGCTTCGGCCTCGTGGACCGAACTCCACTCAGAAAACACTTCAAAGTTATTCAACTTGGATTCTGAACAAATCAATATTTGTTCAGTAAATCTTAAAATCCTAACGAATCTAAAAGAATGACTTTTGATCGGGCCTAAGATTACGCAAATGAAGCCGCTGACGTCACTTCTTCTTCTTCTGCTTTGGGTTTACTGGCAGGCCGCAAACCACTTCACGGCGTATACTGCCACCCGGAGTCCCCGGAGTTGGGGACCGGCACTAAGTACTCTTTTTGGTGTGAACGCGACATAAGGGGTACTAACGGAACTAAACGTGAAAAGTACGGGGAAAAGTACTCCGGTGTGAACGCGGCTAATGGCGGCTAAACAAAACTTTTCAGAGTTTTACGGGGCGTGGTTTGCAATTCGCCCAGCCAATCAGAAAGTGGTACTGTTTTCTCCCCAGGATAGTACCACCTCTCTAGCAGGCACTAAAAAGGGGGATAAAAGTTCTCTGACCTAAGTACTCTTTTTGGTGTGACCGCAAACGGAACTAAACGGGAAAAGTACTCCGGTGTGAACTAGGGCTGAACGATTAATCGATTTTAAATCAAAATCGCGATTTTAAATGATGCGATTATCAAATCGCAAAGCCTGCAATTTTTTTAAACTTTTTATTTATTTATCTTTTTACTTCTTGTGTGTCAGTCATCCACACCAATCAGAAGTGCTGTGCTCCACATGTACCAGCCATTGTTAATGGCCCATGATAGAAGGTGATAGACAGATTGATCCAATCACCTGCCAAGTATTTTTGAAATACTTTTCCAAATGGCTTCCAATGGAGCTTTCCTAGATGGTTAGGTGAAACAAACCATCCGAGTCAGGTTAGTAATGCTCCATCACATGTTTCTATTACAGGGTGAATCTGAAACTGAAGCTTGACTTTAAAGCAACCCAACGGAAGTTTAATGTAAGTTTAGTTATTTCACTCGTAGTTTGGGCTGCGGGGGTGCTAGAGACGGGAGCACGTTGATGCGACCTTCCTAGCCGGAGATATGGCCGCATTTTACAATTAACTTCCGTTGGGTCGCTTAAAAACAAATATCGCAAGTCGAATCGCAATATTTGTCCGAAAAATCGCAATTAGATTTTTTCCCCCAAAATTGTGCATCCCTAGTGTGAACGAGCCCAATGGTGACCAACATGACGTCACGGGAGCTGTAGCACCACCCTGTGGCCGCTAGGGACACCCAGGAAGTGCGCCGGACTCTGATGAAAATATTCGTTGTGTCCAAACCATGGATGTTTACGTAATACGTTTCCCATTGACTAACATTGGGAAAGAGACGTCTGTAAATCAGTGGATGATTGTTTTTAAACTAAATAAACTACCCAGTATGAATTATTTTATAGGCCTTATTAGAATCATTAGGTCCTTAAAGTTGTAAAATGCACTAAAAGCCGAATCCAGAGTTATTTTCTCTCTCCATTCATTCTATTGAGCCGAGAGCGGGAGTTCGGGGCGGGGCTTAAGAGACACTCAACTGCGCATACTCTATGAGCTACATACGGGTACTTCTTACTATACTTCCATGGACATTACACATGAATATCTGCCTCCGCCTCGACGGACGGAGCTCTTCCTCCGGGTTGAAGCCTCACCTCCGCCCCGCTGCTCCCGGTCCTCCCCCCGGTGGGGAATAGGCTGTGATCCCGGGAGGAATTGGGTTATCTCCTCCCGGAACCCCCTTAACGAGGCACCGAGAGAGAGCCCTCCATGTTGGAGAGGAAGAAGAAGCCGTTTTCTGGGTCAAAATGTCGGCTATCTCTCGCTGTTCTCCCGCTGAACGCTTCCTCCCCCAAAATGTCGGATATCTCTCCCGCTGAACGCTTCCCTCCCGCTCCTGTTCACAAACACATAGCCGGGTTGTTGTGTTACTCACGTCCTTAGGTTTCCTGTTCCTGAGCTCCAGGAGGACCCTCTTCTTCATCTCCATGTTGGAACAAAGCAAAATAAAACACACGTCTCCTCCGCAGATCCAGACAGCTCTAACCCTCCATGTTCGCTCGAGCCTTCCTCCACCGAGAGGCCGCGCCCCCACGCCTAATTAATATTCATATATTCACAGATGCTGGCCTACTATTGGTCAGATGAGGGCCCGCTCACTGAGCTCGTGCCCCCGCAGCTCATTATGCAGGACTCTTCTCTCCCATTGGCTGGGGTTGTAGAGGCGGAGCTTGTTCTCGACCAATGAGAAGTCGAACATGAAACATTTAAACTTTACATCAACCCCCTCTTTGTCCTCATTGGCGCCATATTGTACAACAACAGGAACATAAGGACACTAACTGTTTAATGAAAACAACAGATTCTTCATAAACCAGTGAATATGCTTTGTTTTCATTTCAAATACACTTTAATAAACCTTATTCTCATACGTTTGAGCGACATTATAAAGTTAAGATAACGTTTTCAAAGTAAAATGTAGATTATGAGGAAACTTTGACTTAAATCAACATGTATTACAAAGATAACTGACATGTAAGTGAATGTAAAGTGTTCTGTGTCACCACCTGATTCAGGAAGTTACATACAGACAGAAGTGTTTTACTGTAAAGGTTTATTTTAACAAGCGTTACAGTTAAACACCCTTTCAGTATAAAAGCATTCATACATTTCAATGTGATTTAAAAAACAAGATGACAGAATAAATAATACGTAAACAGGATGTGATGTCAGCAAGAGCAGGAAATGAATCTGTGGTAGATATTTAATGAAATAAATAAAGATGACATCACTGATAGTTCAGGTTTAAGGGGCTGAGGGGGATGTGGCTCAGTGGATAGTGTGCTGGGGATCAGGGGAGCACAGGTTCAAACCCCACTGCAGTCAGCATGTCGTTGTGTCCCTGAGACACTTCACCCCAAACTGCTCCTGTGGGGATTGCCCACAGTATTGAGCATGTAAGTCACTTTGGATAAAAGCGTCTAACGGATTACGGAGGATTGATCTGACGCTGCGTTCCTATTGGACACAAAGACACCTTCCCAAACACTGCCATTAAATATCAAGTTTATTAAAATACGCTTTTATAAACAAGACAATCTGAACTCTGATCTAGAGATTATTTCATGCTAACTCAGAATCTTTCTAGGACATTTCAGAAAAAGTCAGATTTTGTGACAAAATTCTAAATGTTTAGATTTTTAGAAAAGGGTAAACATTTTGACATTCAAAGAAATTGCGACAAAATTCAGAGATTTCAGAAATAAAAATGTTGAGAAAAAGTCAGAATTTTGAAATTTTCAGAAAAAGTCAGAATTGTGAGATTTTTTGACAAAAGTCAGATTTGATCCATTGACTCACACCTACACTACAGGAGAGGGAACACCACAGAAGAAGAACAGGGCCTCTTTAAGTCTTGCTGCTGGACATGTTCACCTTTTCAGGTCTTCACTAACTTTAGGCTTAATAAAGAATGAACTCTGATCGAGGAATCATTTCATACAAACTCCACATTTTGAGAAAAAAGTCAGACTTTTGAAGTGTTCAGAAAGTCAGAATTATGAGATTTTGAAAAAAACGTAGAGTCTTAAAGGTCCCATGTCATGGCCATTTCTACTGATCATAATTCCATAGTTGAGGTATACTAGAATAGATTTATATTGTTCAATGTTCCAAACTCACATTGGTTTCTCATACAGCATCTCTGTAAAGTATGTGTATTCACTCTCTGTCCTAAACGGCTTGTTGGAGCTCCTGCCCCCCCCTCCCTGTGAGCCCAGTGGCCGTCTGCGAGACAGCGAGACACAGCGAAACCCAGCCCGAAACCAGCCCGAAACCAGCCCGAGCACGCACACACATTGTTATTATGTTATTATGTTGCATTGTTGGAGAAGCCTGTGACATAAGATTTTCAACTACATAATTACTCTGTAGCTATGTCAGATTGACAATAAAGAACCATGAACCTTGAACCTTGAATCTTGAACACCCGCAGCCTCGCCGCGTTCCGCCGTCTCAGGGAGGGGAAATCGGCGGAGCTGCAGCTGAGAAAAGATTGAGTGTGTGTGTGAGGAACGGCTCCGCGGGCGTAACGTAACGGCTCCACGGATTGGTCCATTTGGACCAATGGGTCCATTTGGGTATGGGCACGTCACTGTACCCAGGAAGTATACATGTCCAGAGAAATGTCCAACGAGGCGTTCTGGGGCAGCATAGACAGGTCTTCTCTGTGTTAGAGTTTTACTCGCTACAGGGTGTACTTTGAGGGTTTGTGACTCTGCAGACCGTTTACATGCAGAAAAACCTTCATAACACAAGGGGACGGGTAATAACCGGAAAAGCATGACATGGGACCTTTGAGATTTTGAGTAAGTCAACATTTCGAAATTCTTAGAAAGAAGTCAGAATTTTTGAGATTTCAGAAAAAGTCTGAAATTGAGATTTGAGAAATAAGTCTGACATTTTGAGATTTGAGAAATAAGTCTGACATTTTGAGAAAAAATTCACAATTTTCAGATTTCAGAAAAAGTTTTCTGGAAAAAAAAAGAATTATTAGATCTCAACATTTTGAGATTCTGAGAAAAAAAGTCAGAATTTTGAGATGAGAGCAGTTTCAATGTCAGCTTCGCCCTAATGGACCAAACTTCAGAAAACACTTTAAAGTGATTTGGCTTCCCTGCCGTCTGGCGGAAACACAAAGCTTTAATTGAGAGTTTAATCTAATCGGTATCACTGTGGAGTTAAAGCAGTATCCCGTTCATACGTAAAGAAATCACAGCAGCTTCTGTGAATTCAAGTCGATACCTCTGCAGTGAACTGTCAATGGTGAGTGTGTGTGTGTGTCAGAGTGCTGGCAATGAGTGCAGCACCTGGTCCAGCAGCTGCAGGGCTCGGTGCAGATGGACCTCCAGCCAGCAGGGGGTGTCCTTGATGCTCTGCCGGGGGTAATCAGAGCCCCAGCCCTTCACGAAGCTCAGACGCACGATACACAACCTGCGCAGGTCGTCCACGCCCAGCCCCCCCGCACACACACCTACACACACACACACACACACACACACACACACACACACACACACACGCACACACACAAAAAGTGACAATATAAAAATATTGATCTCTGATCAAGTCTTATTCTGAAGACAGACAGACAGACAGACAGACAGAGAGAGAGAGAGAGACAGACAGACAGACAGACAGACAGACAGACAGACAGACAGACAGACAGACAGACAGACAGACAGACAGACAGACAGACAGACAGACAGACAGGTACTCACTGACAGCAGGGGGTCCGGGGTTCGCTCCGACCTGCTGCTGCATCTGTCTGTGGCACTGCCTCAGGTCAAACACCTGCAGAAAGACAGGTGTTTTCAGCTGTTTTCTGTTTAAATGAATCATTATTTATTGTAATTATTTTAGTTAAAGGTCTCCTATTATACTATTTTAAGTCTCAGATATATAAATATATGAAGTGTCCTGCTCCAAACCCCAAACAGATCATTGTAGCCTCATCCCCCTCTCTTCCAGCTGTTACTAAAGAGATGATTCTGGCCCTTAACATTTAACCGAGCTGCTGCTGCTGACCACGCCCCCTTGAAGCTGCTGCAGGCCACGCCCCTTGAAGCTGCTGCAGGCCACGCCCCTTTGAAGCTGCTGCAGGCCACGCCCCTTTGAACCCCCGATTTTAGAGATGTGGGTACGGTGGAAAAGTCTCACCTTGATGGACGCTCCGGGGTAGATCTTGTGGACGCCGTCCCCCGGCGCTCGTCCCGCCTCCCGGTCCAGGTACAGACTCTGGAGGAACACCGAGTGGTCGCTAAGGCAACGCATCCAGACGTCTCCCCCCCCCCGACACTCCAGCTGCACCCCCCGCCCAATGTGGAGCCTGCAGGTGAGACAGGTGAGAGACAGGTGAGACAGCTGAGACAGGTGAGAGAGGTGAGACAGGTGAGACAGGTGAGACAGGTGAGAGAGGTGAGACAGGTGAGACAGGTGAGATAGGTGAGAGACAGTTGAGAGTCAGGTGGGACAGGTGAGAGAGGTGAGACAGTTGAGACAGGTGAGACAGGTGAGACAGGTGAGAGACAGGTGGGACAGGTGAGAGAGGTGAGACAGTTGAGACAGGTGAGACAGGTGAGACAGGTGAGAGACAGTTGAGAGTCAGGTGGGACAGGTGAGAGAGGTGAGACAGTTGAGACAGGTGAGAGACAGGTGAGATAGGGGGGACAGGTGGGACAGATGAGACAGGTGAGAGACAGGTGAGATAGGGGGGACAGGTGAGATAGGGGGGACAGGTGAGACAGGTGAGAGACAGGTGAGATACGGGGGACAGGTGAGACAGGTGAGATAGGGGGGATAGATGAGACAGGTGAGAGAGGTGAGACAGGTGAGATAGGGGGGACAGGTGAGACAGGTGAGATAGGGGGGACAGGTGAGACAGGTGAGATAGGGGGGACAGGTGAGAGAGGTGAGACAGGTGAGACAGGTGAGAGAGGGGGGACAGGTGAGACAGGTATTCTGATTCTGACAGGTGAGAGAGGTGAGACAGGTGAGAGAGGTGAGATAGGGAGAACAGGTGAGACAGGTGAGACAGGTCACCTGGCCCGTTGGCTGGCCGCAGTTCGGTGGACGTTGCTCAGTTGTCCCAGACAGAATCTGTCTCCACCTGAAGGGTCTACGTATCCGTCCACCGTCACCTGAGGACACCTGGACTGAACTTTAAACATCTCCCCCACCTGGACGTCCAGCTCGAAGTACGAGACGGAGCACCAGAACTCCGGACCTGAGGGGGACAGGTGAGACAACGGGAGACAGGTGAGACAGGTGGGACAGGTAAGACAACGGGAGACAGGTAAGACAACTGGAGACAGGTGAGACAACTGGAGACAGGTGAGACAACTGTAGACAGGTGAGACAACTGGAGACAGGTGAGACAACTGGAGACAGGTGAGACAACTGGAGACAGGTAAGACAACTGGAGACAGGTGAGACAACTGGAGACAGGTGAGACAACTGGAGACAGGTAAGACAACTGGAGACAGGTGAGACAACTGGAGACAGGTGAGACAGGTGTGTGTGGGGACAGGTGTGTGTGTGGGGACAGGTGTGTGTGTGGGGACAGGTGTGTGTGTGGGGACAGGTGTGTGTGGGGACAGGTGTGTGTGTGGGGACAGGTGTGTATGTGGGGACAGGTATGTGGGGACAGGTGTGTGTGTGGGACAGGTGTGTGGGGACAGGTGTGTGTGGGGACAGGTGTGTGTGTGGGGACAGGTGTTTATGTGGGGACAGGTGTGTGTGGGGACAGGTATGTGGGGACAGGTGTGTGTGTGGGGACAGGTATTTATGTGGGGACAGGTGTGTGTGGGGACAGGTATGTGGGGACAGGTGTGTGTGTGGGGACAGGTGTGTGGGGACAGGTGTGTGTGTGGGACAGGTGTGTGTGTGGGGACAGGTGTTTATGTGGGGACAGGTGTGTGTGGGGACAGGTGTGTGTGGGGACAGGTGTGTGTGGGGACAGGTGTGTGTGGGGACAGGTGTGTGTGGGGACAGGTGTGTGTGGGGACAGGTGTGTACCTGGGTGGTTGGACACTGGCTGTGGATACGGAGCAGAACTGTGATGCTGAGACCCTGCAGGGACAAACATTACACTCAGTCAAGTGCTACTACTGCAGTAAAGTACTACTACTTCAGTAAAGTACTAATACTTCAGTAAAGTACTACTACTTCAGTCAAGTGCTACTACTTCAGTAAAGTACTAATACTTCAGTAAAGTACTAATACTTCAGTAAAGTACTAATACTTCAGTAAAGTACTAATACTGCAGTAAAGTACTACTACTACCTCAGTAAAGTACTAATACTTCAGTAAAGTACTAATACTGCAGTAAAGTACTAATACTGCAGTAAAGTACTAATACTTCAGTAAAGTACTAATACTTCAGTAAAGTACTACTACTTCAGTAAAGTACTACTACTTCAGTAAAGTACTAATACTTCAGTCAAGTGCTACTACTTCAGTCAAGTGCTACTACTTCAGTAAAGTACTAATACTTCAGTAAAGTACTAATACTTCAGTAAAGTACTAATACTTCAGTAAAGTACTACTACTTCAGTAAAGTGCTACTACTTCAGTAAAGTACTAATACTTCAGTAAAGTACTAATACTTCAGTAAAGTACTAATACTGCAGTAAAGTACTACTACTACCTCAGTAAAGTACTAATACTTCAGTAAAGTACTAATACTGCAGTATTAGTACTTTACTGCAGTAAAGTACTAATACTGCAGTAAAGTACTAATACTTCAGTAAAGTACTAATACTTCAGTAAAGTACTACTACTTCAGTAAAGTACTACTACTTCAGTAAAGTACTAATACTTCAGTAAAGTACTACTACTTCAGTAAAGTACTAATACTTCAGTAAAGTACTACTACTACCTCAGTAAAGTACTAATACTTCAGTAAAGTACTAATACTGCAGTATTAGTACTTTACTGCAGTAAAGTACTAATACTGCAGTAAAGTACTAATACTTCAGTAAAGTACTAATACTTCAGTAAAGTACTAATACTGCAGTAAAGTACTAATACTTCAGTAAAGTACTAATACTGCAGTAAAGTACTAATACAAGTACTAATACTTCAGTAAAGTACTAATACTGCAGTCAAGTACTACTACTTCAGGAAAGTACTATCACTTCAGCTGGATATTGGGATGATGTCATACAGAAGTGTGTGTTAAGGGCGTGGTGATTGTGATGCTGTTGGCTCCGCCCACTCTGTCCTGCAGGGCTGTAGGGGGCGGGGCTAGTACCTGGCCAGGTGTCTGCAGAGACAGTAAACAACAGGTCAGTATCTCTGCTCAATAATACTGCTACTACTGGTACTCTTAATGTACAGTACAGGTGTGTGTGTGTGTGTGTGTGTGTGTGTGTGTGTGTGTGTGTGTGTGTGTGTGTGTGTGTGTGTGTGTGTGTGTGTGTGCAGGTACAGTACAGGTGTGTGTGTGTGTGTGTGTGTGTGTGTGTGTGTGCAGGTACAGTACAGGTGTGTGTGTGTGTGTGTGTGTGTGTGTGTGTGTGTGTGTGTGCAGGTACAGGTGTGTGTGTGCAGGTACAGGTGTGTGTGTGCAGGTACAGGTGTGTGTGTGTGCAGGTACAGTACAGGTGTGTGTGTGTGTGTGTGTGTGTGTGTGTGTGTGTGTGTGTGTGTGTGTGTGTGTGTGTGTGTGTGTGTGTGTGTGTGTGTGTGTGTGTGTGTGTGTGTGTGTGCAGGTACAGGTGTGTGTGTGCAGGTACAGTACAGTTGTGCAGGTACAGGTGTGTGTGTGCAGGTACAGGTGTGTGTGTGCAGGCACAGGTGTGTGTGTGTAGGTACAGGTGTGTGTGTGCAGGTACAGGTGTGTGTGTGCAGGTACAGGTGTGTGTGTGCAGGTACAGGTGTGTGCAGGTACAGTACAGGTGTGTGTGTGCAGGTACAGGTGTGTGTGTGTGTGCAGGTACAGGTGTGTGTGTGTGTGTGCAGGTACAGTACAGGTGTGTGTGTGCAGGTACAGGTGTGTGTGTGCAGGTACAGGTGTGTGTGTGTGCAGGCACAGGTGTGTGTGTGTAGGTACAGGTGTGTGTGTGTGTGCAGGTACAGGTGTGTGTGTGTGTGCAGGTACAGGTGTGTGTGTGTGTGCAGGTACAGGGTGTGTGTGTGTGCAGGTACAGGTGTGTGTGTGTAGGTACAGGTGTGTGTGTGCAGGTGCAGGTGTGTGTGTGTGCAGGTACAGGTGTGTGTGTGTAGGCACAGGTGTGTGTGTGTAGGTACAGGTGTGTGTGTGTGCAGGTACAGGGTGTGTGTGTGTAGGTACAGGTGTGTGTGTGCAGGTGCAGGTGTGTGTGTGCAGGTGCAGGTGTGTGTGTGTAGGTACAGGTGTGTGTGTGTGCAGGTGCAGGTGTGTGTGTGTGTAGGTACAGGTGTGTGTGTGTGCAGGTACAGTACAGGTGTGTGCAGGTACAGTACAGGTGTGTGTGTGTGTGTGTGTGTGTGTGTGTGCAGGTACAGGTGTGTATGTGCAGGTACAGGTGTGTGTGTGTGTGCAGGTACAGTACAGGTGTGTGTGTGCAGGTACGTACAGGTGTGTGTGTGTGTGTGCAGGTACGTATAGGTGTGTGTGTGTGCAGGTACAGGTGTGTGTGTGCAGGTACGTACAGGTGTGTGTGTGTGCAGGTACAGGTGTGTGTGTGCAGGTACGTACAGGTGTGTGTGTGCAGGTACAGTACAGGTGTGTGTGTGCAGGTACGCACAGGTGTGTGTGCAGGTACGCACAGGGTGTGTGTGTGCAGGTACGCACAGGTGTGTGTGTGCAGGTACGTATAGGTGTGTGTGTGTGCAGGTACAGGTGTGTGTGTGCAGGTACGTACAGGTGTGTGTGTGCAGGTACAGTACAGGTGTGTGTGTGCAGGTACGCACAGGTGTGTGTGCAGGTACGCACAGGTGTGTGTGTGCAGGTACGCACAGGTGTGTGTGTGCAGGTACAGTACAGGTGTGTGTGTGCAGGTACAGTACAGGTGTGTACAGGTACAGTACAGGTGTGTACAGGTACAGTACAGGTGTGTACAGGTACAGTACAGGTGTGTGTGCAGGTACAGTACAGGTGTGTGTGTGTGCAGGTACAGTACAGGTGTGTACAGGTACAGTACAGGTGTGTGTGTGCAGGTACAGTACAGGTGTGTGTGCAGGTACAGTACAGGTGTGTGTGTGTGCAGGTACAGTACAGGTGTGTACAGGTACAGTACAGGTGTGTGTGCAGGTACAGTACAGGTGTGTGTGTGTGCAGGTACAGTACAGGTGTGTACAGGTACAGTACAGGTGTGTGTGTGCAGGTACAGTACAGGTGTGTACAGGTACAGTACAGGTGTGTACAGGTACAGTACAGGTGTGTGTGTGCAGGTACAGTACAGGTGTGTGTGTGTACAGGTACAGTACAGGTGTGTACAGGTACAGTACAGGTGTGTGCAGGTACAATACAGGTGTGTGTGTGCAGGTACAGTACAGGTGTGTACAGGTACAGTACAGGTGTGTGCAGGTACAGTACAGGTGTGTGTGTGTACAGGTACAGTACAGGTGTGTACAGGTACAGTACAGGTGTGTGCAGGTACAATACAGGTGTGTGTGTGCAGGTACAGTACAGGTGTGTACAGGTACAGTACAGGTGTGTGCAGGTACAGTACAGGTGTGTGCAGGTACAGTACAGGTGTGTAGTTACAGTACAGGTGTGTGCAGGTACAGTACAGGTGTGTGCAGGTGTAGTACCTGTTTTGGGGGGGCTGCTGTATTCGGGCAGGTGTGGGGAGGTGGGGGTGGGGGGGTGAGGAGGCTGTGGGGTGTGGGGGGGGTTTGTGTGAGGGGGGGGGGGCGTGGCCTCCATGGTTCTGGGGGGGGGCGACCCCCCTCCCACAGGTAACACCTGACAGAGCTGCAGGTGAGCTGCTGCCTGCAAGACAGAAGCCAGGGATTCACACACTGTGAGTCAACTGATTAGGAAATTAACTTTGATTGACAGCTCACCTGGAGGGGGGATGCTGGGATGCCTGGGGGGGCGGGGCTGGCTGTAGGGGTCACAGTGGGGGGGCAGCTCCACCTGCAGACAGTCCTGCAGGAACTCCTCCTTGATCCCGGACTGAGGACCTGAAGGAGAACAGGAGGACGACCATTAATACGTGTCTCCTCTGTCTCCTGTGTCTCCTGTGTCTCCTGTGTCTCCTGTGTCTCCTGTGTCTCCTGTGTCTCCTGTGTCTCCTGTGTCTCCTGTGTCTCCTGTGTCTCCTGTGTCTCCTGTGTCTCCTCTGTCTCCTGTGTCACCTGTGTCTCCTGTGTCACCTGTGTCTCCTGTGTCTCCTGTGTCTCCTGTGTCTCCTGTGTCTCCTGTGTCTCCTCTGTCTCCTGTGTCTCCTGTGTCTCCTGTGTCTCCTGTGTCTCCTGTGTCACCTGTGTCTCCTGTGTCTCCTGTGTCTCCTGTGTCTCCTGTGTCACCTGTGTCTCCTGTGTCTCCTGTGTCTCCTGTGTCACCTGTGTCTCCTGTGTCTCCTGTGTTACCTGTGTCTCCTGTGTCTCCTGTGTCTCCTGTGTTACCTGTGTCACCTGTGTTTCCTGTTACCTGTGCTTGTGGGCTGGGCCACGCGCTCGTAGTGGTACGGGTTCACACACACGCTGTCGTACTTCAGGTCGAAGGCGAACTGACAGAAGGCGACGGCTTTCAGCTCGTTCTTCTGAAGGTCGGGCCAACGCCACAGACGGGCGTAAATCACGTGAGGGAAACCCTTCCTGCCCGCCACCTGCACACAGACAGGTGAGACAGACAGGTGAGACAGGTGAGACAGGTGAGAGAGGTGAGAGACAGACAGGTGAGACAGACAGGTGAGAGAGGTGAGAGACAGACAGGTGAGAGAGGTGAGACACAGACAGGTGAGAGAGGTGAGACAGACAGGTGAGACAGGTGAGAGAGGTGAGACAGACAGGTGAGACAGACAGGTGAGAGACAGACAGGTGAGAGAGGTGAGACACAGACAGGTGAGAGAGGTGAGACAGACAGGTGAGAGAGGTGAGACAGACAGGTGAGACAGGTGAGAGAGGTGAGACAGACAGGTGAGACAGACAGGTGAGAGACAGACAGGTGAGAGAGGTGAGACACAGACAGGTGAGAGAGGTGAGACAGACAGGTGAGACAGGTGAGAGAGGTGAGACAGACAGGTGAGACAGACAGGTGAGAGAGGTGAGAGACAGACAGGTGAGAGAGGTGAGACACAGACAGGTGAGAGAGGTGAGAGAGGTGAGACAGACAGGTGAGACAGACAGGTGAGAGAGGTGAGAGACAGACAGGTGAGAAAGGTGAGACACAGACAGGTGAGAGAGGTGAGAGACAGACAGGTGAGAAAGGTGAGACAGACAGGTTGAGACAGGTGAGACACTAGACAGGTGAGACAGGTGAGACAGGTGAGACACTATGAGACAGGTGAGAGACTATGAGACAGGTGAGACACTGTGAGACAGGTGAGACAGGTGAGACACTGTGAGACAGGTGAGACAGGTGAGACACTATGAGACAGGTGAGAGACAGACAGGAATCATCCTTCTTTGACATTTTAATAAACTGTGAGAACAAACTGAGTCACAGTGTGCAGAGGTTACCATGGAAACTGTGTGTGTGTGTGTGTGTGTGTGTGTGTGTGTGTGTGTGTGTGTGCGTGCGTGCGTGCGTGCGTGCGTGCGTGCGTGCGTGCGTGCGTGCGTGCGTGCGTGCGTGCGTGCGTGCGTGCGTGCGTGCGTGCGTGCGTGCGTGCGTGCGTGCGTGCGTGCGTGTGTGTGTGTGAACTGGGTGATGTGGAGTTCACCTGCCCTGCCAAACCACAACCATGACATCATGTCTGACCTCACGTCTGTGTGTGTACACTGTAAAAAACATGCCTCCATTATAAGAAAAAAGGAACTACACACACACACACACACACACACACACACACACACACACTGTAAAAAGCTGAACGTCTCAACTTCACTTTGTTATAATCAGAAACTCACAAATCAGTTTGGAGAAAAATACGTTGTGTTTTTTGATGAAAACACTCAAAGCTACGAGAAGGATGGGAGACTACAACTACAACTCCCAGAGTGCATTTCACTTACCATCATCCAATCAAATAACAACGTAGAAACCTGATATAACAATATTAAAAATTGTTGTTAAATGCAGACCTAGTTTAAACTCAAAGTCCCTCATGTTTGTCTCATGTACAGTACTTTAATACTTCAATATTTGAGTGCTTTAGTATTTTAATAAATGTATTTAGTAACCTCCTCTGATCCTCGTTCAGTTTAGTCTGAAACCTTTTACAGTGTAGCGACTCTGTGGTGAGATCCAAGAACAGACTCTAGACGTGTACACATTCCACACACACACACACACACACACACACACACACACACACATACACGCACACACACACACACACACCCACACACACACACACACACACACACACACACACACACACTGTCTGGCTCAAGTTAACCCAGCCCCTTTCCTGTGTTTCAGACAAAACAAGCCTTCCCTTCCTCTCCTGTTCCTCCCGTTATGATAAATGCGTTTCTTTAATGGACACTTACCAAAAGCTTTGGCAGTTTTTATGTATGTTTGTAATTAAGATGGGTAACAATTGTGAAGTATTGGACTCAAGCTTTAAAAGGGTTCAGTTTTTGGGGTTCATTCAGATATGCTGTACATATCTCACCATACTTTTCATATTCTTTTGTAAACGTCCTTTATAGCCCAACATTAGCCACCTTTAGCTTAGCGGTGGTGACGTGAATTCATGTGACCGTGCTGTAGTTCCTTTATAGCCCAACATTAGCCTCCTTTAGCTTAGCGGTGGTGACTGCAAGTCATGTGACCGTGCTCTGTAGGTTCCTTTATAGCCCAAACATTAGCCTCCTTTTAGCCGCTTAGCGGGTGGTGCACGTTGAAGTCATGTTGACCCGTGCTGTAGTTCCTTTATAGCCCAACATTAGCCTCCTTTAGCTTAGCGGTGGTGACGTGAAGTCATGTGACCGTGCTGTAGTTCCCTTTATAGCCCAACATTAGCCACCTTTAGCTGTAGCGTGAAAGTCATGTGACCGTGCTGTAGTTGCCTTTATAGCCCAACATTAGCCTCCTTTAGCTTAGCGGTGGTGACGTGAAGTCATGTGACCGTGCTGTAGTTCCTTTATAGCCCAACATTAGCCACCTTTAGCTTAGCGGTGGTGACGTGAAGTCATGTGACCGTGCTGTAGTTCCTTTATAGCCAACAGTTAGCCACCTTTAGCTTAGCGGTGGTGACGTGAAGTCAATGTGACCGTGCTGTAGTTCCTTTATAGCCCAACATTAGCCATCCTTTAGCTTAGCGGTGGTGACGTGAAGTCATGTGACCGTGCTGTAGTTCCTTTATAGCCCAACGTTAGCTCCTTTAGCTTAGCGGTGGTACGTGAAGTCATGTGACCGTGCTGTAGTTCCTTTATCGCCCAACATTAGCCACCTTTAGCTTAGCGTGGTGACGTGAAGTCATGTGACCGTGCTGTAGTTCCTTTATAGCCCAACATTAGCCTCCTTTAGCTTAGCGGTGGTGACGTGAAGTCATGTGACCGTGCTGTAGTTCCTTTATAGCCCAACGATTAGCCTCCTTTAGCTTAGCGGGTGGTGACGTGAAGTCATGTGGACCGTGCTGTAGTTCCTTATATAGCCCAACATTTAGCCATCCTTTAGCTAGCGGTGGGTGACGTGAAGTCATGTGACCGTGCTGTCGTTCCCTCCTTTATAGCCCAACATTAGGCCATCCTCTGCTTAGCGTGGTGACGTGAAGTCATGGTGACCGTGCTGTAGTTTCCTTTATAGCCCAACATTAGCCATCCTTTAGCTTAGCGGTGGTGACGTGAAGTCATGTGGACCGTGCTTGTAGTTCCTTTATAGCCCAACATAGCCATCCTTTAGCTTAGCGGATGGTGACGTGAAAGTCATGTGACCGTGCTGTAGTTCCTTTATAGCCCAACGTTAGCCTCCTTTAGCTTAGCGGTGGTAACGTGGACGTCATGTGCCCGTGCTGTGCCCGTGCTGTAGTTCCTTTATACCCAACGTTAGCCTCCTTTAGCTTAGCGGGTGGTAACGTGAAGTTCATGTGACCGTGCTGTAGTTCCTTTATGCCCAACATTAGCCACCTTAGCTTAGCGGTGGTGACGTGAAGTCATGTGACCGTTGCTGTAGTTCCTTTATAGCCCAACATTAGCCTCCTTTAGCTTAGCGGTGGTGACGTGAAGTCATGTGACCGTGCTGATTCCTTTATAGCCCAGATTAGCCTCCTTTAGCTTAGCGGTGGTGACGTGAAGTCATGTGACCGTGCTGTAGTTCCTTTATAGCCCACATTAGCCACCTTTAGCTTAGCGGTGGTGACGTGAAGTCATGTGACCGTGCTGTAGTTCCTTTATAGCCCAACATTAGCCTCCTTTAGCTTAGCGGTGGTGACGTGAAGTCATGTGACCGTGGCTGTAGTTCCTTTATAGCCCAACATTAGCCACCTTTAGCTTAGCGGTGGTGACGTGAAGTCATGTGACCGTGCTGTAGTTCCTTTATAGCCCAACATTAGCCACCTTTAGCTTAGCGGTGGTGACGTGAAAGTCATGTGACCGTGCTGTAGTCCTTTATAGCCCAACGATTAGCCGTCCTTTTAGCTTAGCGGTGGTGACGTGGACGTCATGTGACCCGTGCTGTAGTTCCTTTATAGCCCAAGCAGTAGCCATCCTTTAGCTTAGCGGTGGTGACGTGAATTCATGTGACCGTGCTGTAGTTCCTTTATAGCCCAACATTAGCCCCTTTAGCTTAGCAGTGGTGACGGTGAAGTCATGTGACCGTGCTGTAGTTCCTTTATAGCCCAAGCTTAGCCCTCCTTTAGCTTAGCGGTGGTGACGTGAGTCATGTGACCGTGCTGTAGTTTCCTTTATAGCCCAAACATTAGCCACCTTCAGCTTAGCTGTGGTGGACGTGGAAAGTCATGGTGACCGTGCTGTAGTTCCTTATAGCCCAACGTTAGCCTCCTTTAGCTTAGCGGTGGTGACGTGAAGTCATGTGACCG